TGTTGGCACGGTTTTATTAAAATTTAAATACAAACAATAACAGCACTGGCAGCGATAAGAACAATAACAGCTACTGATTGAACAATGTTGACAACAAAAATTACAAAAACAAGTGCCTGCCTGCAGGCAGTATGTTGATACATTACAAAAAACGCTTCTCGTATTAAATTAGAGCTCAGGCAGAGCGGCAACAACAACAACAACAGTATGTAGGAAAACCAATAATAACAGCAACAGCTGCCAAGGTAACTTTGGTTATTATTTTTCAATTTGTGACAAAGTTTCATATCATACTTCAAGTGTGTGGAAGTCCATGCATGTGCAACGCCTGGCTGTGTTCTTTGATTAAGTAAGTTTCTCAGGCAAGAAGTTTTGGATAAAGTCTTTCGTGAAATTACCCCCACTCCGAGTTGCTGATAAACTATGTTGATCCCAGGTGATCTACGGAAGTTACAAGTGGTTTATTAGGAATTTAATTTGTTTTTTTATACGCTGTATCCTAAGAGTAACATGGGTATATGAGGCTTACCCGGAGGTATTGCTAACAAAAAAGCATTATCTCCTTCTAAAAGTGTGTGTCTCTCTTCTTGAAATGAAGAAGCGAAGGGATGAGACGTTAGTGAAGCCTCTCAAAGTATGCAATTAATATTTAAAGCTATATGGGTCTACTTCAATGCAACTGTATACATATATGCGCATTTCTAGGTGCTTTCACATATTCGTACATACATATGTGCGTGTATATGTTTGTGTGCCTTTTGATTGGCGCATGTAGATTGGCACTTACGAGTAGAAACACAAAGTTATCTACAAATTTTAATTGAATGTATTCCATGCGAATTTATTGAAAAACTTTCATCAGCAATCAAATTGATTGAACACGCACTCTCGTTTGCGCACAAGTTACAACTTTTGCGAAAGCAACACAACAGAAAGCAACTAATACACACACAAACACACACACACACTACATTGATTGAGAAATTATTGAACCAAAACGCCAGACCGCCAGACCGCCACAACCGTGTCAAATGCATGCGTGAAGCCAGAGGCAATGGCATGAGGAAAATGGCATTGCAAGTGCCTGTCGCTTTCCCAACATGTTGCAATTTATTCTAATCGCATGTCAAACACAACAGCAACAACAGTTGCAACAATAACAGCAGCAACAACAACCACTCAGGCAACAGCAACTGCAAAGGCAACAAGAAAGCAGCACCGCCAACAGCAGTGAGGCCATTGGTGCGTATAACGATGCTGCCGATGAAGTCAATGGTGAGCCAACCCGAAAGGTTGCCAGCGTGCAAGGCAATTGAGTGGCGGCAATCAATCTGCCATCGCCATCATACATACCTGCCTGCCTGCCTGCCTTACAGCCTAGTACACTGGAAACATGATGAAGGATTAATTCTTGCTAACGACATTATAGTCCTATTCAACAAAACTGAACACTAGACTAGATACTAGACAACATAGGAAGTCAGTTGAACAGGAATTTCCCTTTTTTGCAAATTATTATTTAATATACCTCTACACCGTTTTTGTACTTGAAAACCTGTGCCACATTAAAAGTCTAATATTCCATGTATCATGTAAAACGAACGCAGAATATAAAGGTTTCACATATTTTTTGGAGAAGAAATGTATAAAGATTTTGCCATTTACGTCTTAACAAAGAAAAATATCGGGTTTTTTGATATTTTAATGCCAGATCGCATATTAATTGAAAAGAATAGTAGGAATTTTATGCAAAGAACAAATGCTTAAAGGAATTTAAATCTCACTAGTATATATTTGATAATGCATATCTTTCGTTATTCGCTTCTTTTTTTGAGTGTGGTATGGAAGAATGTGTGTCAAAAGTCTGCCTATGCGCTATAACACCTGCCAAATTGCAGTCAACCAAATAACTCACTTGCGCCATGGCTGACTACTTGACCGACTGACTGACTGACTGGCTGACTGCTTGTTGTGTCGCTTATGCCACTTAATTGACGCCAAACGCATATACACCGGCTTAGGCCCGGTGGTGCCAATACAGCCTAAGGGCGAGAAAAATCACAGCTCGTTAGTGAACTCAGCCTGATTTGTGGGCGAAATGCAAAAGATTGACTGCATTGACTGCAGTTCCGCTTGAGGTCTGGCTATTGAGTACGACACATTGCATTTTGCGTTGTACAGTCAAAATATACAATTGAAATAGTCTGTGCCCCAACAAAATGCATTTGCAAATTATTTAATGCCAGCATGCAGATGCTTAAAGGGGAACCTCCTAAATCAACAAACTAAAGGCACAAATACACAATCGTATAAACCTACATACTTGTACATACATACTACATATATCCAGCTGACTTTGCAAAAAGCAAAACCGCAAATCAGTTTTACCACCAAATCAACAGGAATGACAACTACATGACAGCTACAGCCATACGATGGGCCCTGCCCGGCCTCTTCTGCTTCTACACATTTGGTTTAAAATACGAAGCATGGCTCGGCCTGAGAAACAGTTAATGTGAGTGTGTGTGTGTGTGTGTGTGTTTGTGCGAGTGTGCGTACTCTTAATGATTATTTGACGCCATATTTGATTGACGTGCGTGATGGGCTCATTATTTTTTCCCCACACTCGCAAGCACCGCAGATGCATATACTATATAGTGTAGCACGTACATATACAAGTATGTATTTCCTATTGTGTGCGTATATTTCAATGGGCGCCTGCTTGGCTTGCGGGCTTATGCGTGGGCGTGTTAATGGCCGCCTGTCGACACACACATACACAGCCGCACATACATATGTACTATACAAATGTACCAGTATGGGGCAGATATCAATTTTATGTCTTACGCAAATGTCACTTAGGCTTGTTCGATTCAAATGATAGCACCTTCACATTTATGTTTACAAATACAAATAAATACGCTCGAGCACAATAATTTGTGCGTGTGCGTGTGCGTGTAAGCAAGCGACATTCAAAAACGCTTAAGATACTCGTATAATTTATCAAAATGAACTTAAGAATTGCATTGGGAGTGCAAATTACCCATGAATGTTGTGTGGGTTTCTTTTAAACAAAAATTCTGCTAAAGCAATTCATTACGACCATTTTCCATCCGAGTAAAACCGTAATAACAAATATCAAAGGTGCACTCTTCTTCGCCGGGAATGTTTCTTAGTATGTTAGTCGTAACTCTTTAATTTGATACTAAAACGCATTTTTTTTATCGAAAAATGCATTTCTTGAAAAACGGGATAATGTGCTTTTTCTGGTTTTTTTTCCAATAATTTAAATATCCTAGAGAGTTTTAAAACCATGCTCACCTATTATAAACTCTGCTGTAAACAAAGTCCGAAAGTTATGATTGGTAGTCAAAGAATCGATCCGACCACTAGTGCTGTCTCTGCCCACTTATATCAGCAATTTGGCTTCAATTTAAAATGGTAGCCATCTGCCAGTAGAGGAGCCTTTCGCCAAAGTGCTGCTCATGTGCAATTGGCGTGCGTTTTGTGTGGGAAAAACTATGTGGAGAGTCCTTGAAACACATGGAACACATGTAGCTATGCTAGCGGAAAGCCTACGGCTATAAAAAACCAGCAGTTGACATAGTTTAGAGTTGTTCGGACTGAGGAGGATGTGTGTGGAGGGATGCGTTGCGGAGGGGGGGAAGGTGAGGGTGAGGATGTAGGATGGATGCGGCCAGCAGCGGTAAGTTCAACAACACAAGCCGTTGAATGCGAAATGAATGAATGTCTTAATAGAAGCTTGCAACGTCAAGCAAGTTGCAGCTTGTTGTCATCGTCAGAGCCATCGTCGTCGTCGTCGTCGTCGTCGTCGTCGTCGTCGTCGTCGTCATTGTAGTTGTTGGAAGAAAATTGGTGCCAAACTAAATGAATTTAATTGCCGCTGGATATGAAAGTAATTATTTTGCTGAGCATAGACACATACGAGCATACATCGGAGGCGGCGACGAGGCCAAAGACAGTTGTTGCTCATGTGTGTCTGTGTGGGTTAGCATCGATGCACTTGCACTTAACTGCAAACAGACACACACAAACACACACACAAACACACACACACACATACAGACACACCCTCAAATGTATGTCGCACACTTTCACTGCGCGGCGAAATCGCCCGCGGATATTTTGAGTTGTTTTTTAATTTATGCTCTTTTACGCGTCGAGCACTCTGCTTGTTGTCGTTTCATTGCTGCAAATGCAACCAGTAACAAAGAGCAATTGGGTGGGTGGGTGTTTATATGTTAGTTGCTTGTTTACACGCCGTCGCTTTGTTGCCTATTTCAACATTTTTTTGTTCACCCCATGCTAGAGAGAACCTTGTAACACTTTCAATAACACCACCGCTTGTATAGTACACATTCCGACACATTCTCATACATTGGCGAACACGAGCCCACTGAAAATTAATGATGATAGCGCACTCAATTTAAAGACACGACAAAACACACACTGGCAGAGTAATTTTCGTCAGAATTGAGGGAATCAAAGACCAATTAGCTGGAAGTCTGAGCCGCAAGCAAAGCATTCTTCGAACTACGCGCACTCGTGGCATCGGCATTAGAATTCAGTTATTACCAAGCTTATTTTGGCCACAAGGGTATTGCAATAATTGAGCAACTAATTTGAATCTTTTGCATTTTAGAGCTTAACTGAAGCATTTGTAACCGTATCATAAAGTGTTTGGTTTGAGAAATTACATGGCACCCACCAGCTTACGTTTCAAATATAAATATATGTATATTTTCTTCTTTCTACTATGGGCTGTATGCAGTGCCACGTTGCATGTAAAAAAGCCTCTATACAAGTACCTGATTCATGTTTTCAACAAAATCCATTAAATGTTGTTGCCGAATTTGATTGTTAAGTCTAGTGAGAGGGATAGAAGCTAAGCTTTGATAGAGAGTGTATTCGAGAAACGTTGAGCCCAAATTGTTTGTAGGTACGAAAATTATTTATTTTCAATAACTTAAAAGTATAACTTAATTATCTTGGTCGTATAGCGGTGTCTTCACATATATCGGAGCTGGGTAGACCGAACCATAGTTGCGCGAAACTTTCGGATAATTTGAGGCATAATCCTCTTTTGGATATTTGACTGGCTGGTAGGTTGTTCCTTGATTAGCGCGTGAACGCTTTTGACTATTCCTGGTGCGGTGTCTTCTGGAGGGAGACAACCGACTGGTATAACTATTGTAAGCATCAATGATGCGGCTAAAAGGTTTCGGATTATCTGCGGTGCGTTGGCTGGGGGGCTCTTGGGGTCCGTACCATGGAAAATAGGGTGGGGCAAATGGTGGGGGAGGAGGAAGATAAAATGGATAGCCTGGGTATCCTGGATAGCCTGGATATCCTGGAAAGCCTGGATAGCCTGGAAAAACTGGAATATTAGGTAGACTGTCGTCACCTTGCGTCACTGTTGCTGTTGCTGTTGCTGGAGCCGGGTCCGCTCCAGTACTTTCGTCGTCCTTTCTTTTCACAACCAAAATGCAATTAACAACATTTGATTCAGTGCTAGTGCTAGAGTTGGTTCCGCTGCTAGATCCAGGCCAACCGCCGTATCCAGGCCAACCGCCGTATCCAGGCCATCCTCCCCATCCACTTGCAGGCTTATTGTCAGACCCACTGCTCGAATCACTACCAGAGGTATCAGAAGAGCTCCAGCTAATGACGCGTCCCGTTATCTGGCCAGTGGATTCATCCAAATCATTTGTGGAAATCACACACAAGGGAGCCCCCTTGTTGCCCACCTTAGAGGTCGAATTGGAGTCGAAATGTAAGAGCCCTGGCAACAACGTGCCTGCGGTTAGACCAGTGGCTAATCCCGCAATTCCAGATATAAGCCGTCCCTCAGACAAGTCTTGTTTGTCTTCGGCCTCGGTCAGGCGCAGCAGATCATCGTACTCTTGTCGTGACACCTGATGGATGCGCACAAGTTGCCCGCGATTGGTTGCTAAAAATACAGAATATACATACAATCTCCTTTAACCATGTCGCTACACATCCTGGATCGAAGAAGGTGGACTTACCAGCATTGGCTGCGACGCACAGAGCGACCACTGCCAGAAGTTGAGAAATTTTCATTATCATGTTGTCACCCGATGGCCGCGAGCGAATAACCACAGTATGCTATGCGATCTCATTTTTATAGATTTGCTTGATTAACTTTCTGTAGATAGAACGCATAAAAAGCATAAATAGAAGTGGCCACATAATAAGTTCATATATGGCGTTGTAATCGTATTGTAATGGTAATGAGCCCCAGCCTCTCCCAGCTGGCTGACTCAGTTATGCTCGTATTTGTATGCACATAAATTAATCGTTGGCCTCATTCTGTCTAATTTTATTCTTTGCTAATCATCTGGGTGCCACAAATAAAGCAAAGCTAAACCTACGCGTGTGATTCATTCATACGAGTTTTATTAAGTTTGGCCAACTTAATAACACACCAATTAAATAGCATACTGCAGACTGCTTAGACAATTTAATTAGCAGAATCATAATATATTTACACATTTTTTAGGTGCAACATTTTTTAAAGACCCCAATTACAAGATGTCATACACATATCTTCAAGTTTTTGTAAACTATTTGTTTTTTTTTTAAATTTTATTCTGATATTACTCCTTTTTTCAACACGCACAGTTGAAATAAAAAGGTATTGAAATAAGTAAGTAAGTATAAGAATAGCAGAAGAAACTCGGAGTAGGTATGAAAAATGTTTTTGATTAAAACTAACTTTGACTGAAACTAAGTCAAGCTAAAGCTAAGTCAGTATAAATAAACGATCGAGTTTTTTTCTTATTTTATTTGATTTTTTTTAGAAATATTATCTCTATAATAGATATATATATATATATATATATATATTTATATATATTATTAATAATCATAACCCCATCCATTTTGCACATGCACACTGTATGGGTCGTTACTGCGATTATAATTGTCGAGCTCCGAACTATCTTCATCCACATCTTCAGGAACTTCTTCGACTAAACCATAAATTTCTTCTTCCCCATTCCCGGGGATTGTCGGCTCCTCTGTCTGCTCGTAGAAAGAATTATAGCCATATGGATAGGGAGAGGTATTGGATGGACCATAACTTGGCTGACCGTAAAACGGCGCAGGGCCAAACTGTTGGCCATAGTAGGGGTCAGGAGTAAGTGCCGGGCTGAAGGACGCATATGGATATGGGTAGGAGTTTTGTTCAGGATATGAATAACTATTTTCGCTACCATATTGACTGTAAGGATTTTCATACTGGCGCGATGTGAACTTGTGGCCATTTATATTGGAAGTCTTATAGCTTGGCCTTCTGCGTACTGTCTGTTTCCTGCTTTTGGGTGCATTCGTGGCTCTTACTTTTGGCTTTGGTTTTGATTTTGGCCTCACTGCTTGATTTGGGTTTTCTGTGGTACTTATTGTGGTCTTAGACTCTACAATTGGAGTTAGTGTTGTACTTTCTGGCTCATCTTCAACAATAAAAGTGACCATTGGTTCCGCAACAACCATTTCTTCTGTGTCCTGAGTCTCCTTTCCTGGAGCTGGTGGCGCGGCAAGCGGAGAGGATATGTCATGTAATCGCACCAAGTTCGAAATATCTTCACTCGTGCTAGGTACGGGGTACTGTGCAGGGCTGCCATCATACGTTACTGTACCACCTAATACTTTATTTTCCAAGGTATTCTTATTCTCCAACACTACGATACAATTGATCACAGAATCATCTTCGAAATCTGCGTATATTTGATCGGCTACCACTCCTTCCCTTGTTTTCACCACGCACAGAGGCTGGCCATCGACCTTGACTTCATTCTGCTTACTCGTGGGCGTGAACCCCACAATGCGTAACAACGAATTCCATCCCGAGCTCAGGTCTTTGGTGAGCGAGTTGAAGCCATTGCTAACCGATGAAAAGCCGCCGCTTATCAGGCGAGCCTCTGATATGAAATTTTTGGCGTTCGTCAGATTAAGAACCTTCTCATATTGCTGTTGATCGATTCTGTAGACACGCACCAAATGGTCGGGCTCGCCCTCCGAAGCGGGCGCTGTAAGAAAACAAATGTACATAAAGAGGTACAGAGATCAACTATTTCTCAATTACACACCAGCCTCGTGGCCAGGCATAGTGCCCAGTAAGAGCAGTAGACCCAACACAAGCATAATATAATAACCTCCGCTGGCCATCGGTACAAACTTTTGCCAAAATACTAAGAGCGCGGCAGCTGTCGTTGGTGTTATTTATACGTTCGTGTGGCAAATAACAAGAAGGGGCGGCTACAAAAGGCAACGGTCATATCTACAAATTGTGCAATTAAGCATTTGTTTAAACACGCTGGTGAATCCATTTGAATAAATTTATCCATATTGGAACAGCAAGACAAGTCAACGAACGCATTAAAGAGCTCCGATCCAAGAACCGGTTCTGCAATCAACACTCCCAGCCAACTGAGCAAAAGATGATACTAATTCTGTTCATTGCTTGTAAATGTAAAACAAAATAAGGTCTGGCTGATGACATTTTTCTAAATCATAATCTTTATTTTTTCATCTTTATGATTAAACTCTTTTAGTGAGTGTGTTTGTGTGTGTGTGTGTGTGTCGGTGTGTGAGTATAAAGTTGTTTTCGTGGATTTTGCATTATGGTGACATATGTGTTTCTTACAGTTACTCGTACATATAGTTCATTTGGTTTGCTTAACTGCTCATTTACTCATATGCTCGATATATTTATGTATGTGGTAGTTAGTACTGACACCTATACGCTTATACGTATGCATATGTGTGTGTTAATATCGATGCTGTTACTGTTGTTTTCGCTTACATTATTACTTCTGCTTTATAATCGGGCATGTTTGTGTTTAATACTCGTACGTAGTAGATGCCGCCAGCCGCTTATGCAAAATGCATTAATTTATTTACAAATCCCTAATACATTATTAAGCCCATCTCCAGGCGCATTCGATGAATATGTGGCCTGTCTGTTGCTGTTTCCCGTCAAAGTGCTGGTCAGAGTGTGTGGCTGTTTACATTAAATTTATCTAATTTCGACTATTTTTTCATACGTGTATGCTTTTTGTTAAATACTGCGTTCTGTAATAAATGTTTACCTGTATTTTTTTATGATTACAACTGCTTCCAATTAGTGTTATAGTTGTTTTTTCTCTTGGTTTTATTGTGCCACATTACTAGTATATACTACGAGTATATGTTCGCGGCGAATGTACGGATGTATGATAACCCCAACGGCTTTGACATTTAAATTTTATTTATCTGTTGTTTCATAAAAGGGCTTATTAAAATTACAGTTGCTACTAATGAATGTATTTACAATGTTTTGCTCGTTTATAGTCATTTAACTGAGCACAATTACAAATTGAATCTACATATTTTTTTGGACATATTTCTGTCCTCTTGCCACATATTAATTATATACAAATAAAAACAACTATTGATATTGCAGACACAAGCACAAAATAAACATCAGGATCAAATACGTATACGTACCTGACATCCTTCGTTAACTCTTGCTGCCCACCATAACAAATATTGTTTTACATATTAAGCTACGGTTTCTCATTTGCAAATTGTGTTAATGAATAGAAGGACCCAAATGAAGGACAATTATTTGTGTATTTGATTTTTATACCATTAGACATTGTTGTCTGTTCGGCTTTGTCGTTTTGTCGTTTTGTCGTTGCTTACCTGCTACACATTTTACATGTTTAGGCTGCATATTGGGTTCTGACCCAATTGCAGTGTTTTTCTACTTCATGAACATAAACTTCGGCACACTTATTCTATACAAAAACCCAATATGTATGTACTTATTTGTTTATAATTCTGTGAATGTGAGCTAAGCAAACCAATTGCAACATCGGCTCTCTGCCATTTATTTACACCACTTTCAATTACCTACGCATACTTAAATATTTCCGAAAATTGATGCTACTCTAACGCTAAGGGATTAGCATAAACAAACTAAAACATGTACAGTTGACTCTTTTTAATTTATGTGTTTGAAGTTGAGATTGCATAAAGATTTCACATAGCTGCCGGAAATTTGTGTGGAGTGGATAGAAGGACAGAGCGTTATAAGCAAATTTATAGCTAGTAAGTCTTATTTGTAATGAAAAGGTTTTATTCTATGTGGTTTTTGCTTGCATAACTATATGCTTGAATTGCAAATCATAGCAGAACCTTTGAATATTCATCCCCACTGCAGTGTTCTAATATGAGTATGTCTTATGTGTTTTGCTTTCAGCTTAGCATAACGCTCAAATTATCTGCTCTAATATTGATACGCTTCTTTTTTGGCCTTCACTATGCTTTTTTCGGAATTTCCTTATTTATTTTATATTTTGCTGTTCTGTTACACAAACGTATATATTTTCTACACTTATACAAACGCTTAGAGCTAGTTAAATACTCGTAGTTATCCACTAAGTGCAGCAGCAGCTTAAAATTAAACACATACTCGTACGAATATTCGAATACGTTAAGGAGCCACGCCCACTGCGGCCACTCTCTGTGAGTCGTACAAAATAGAGAAAATACATAACACATTTAACTAAGCTGACATCACTTTCAGTGCCCAAGCCTCATTGCCAGACCCAATCAATCTCAATGCGGGCAATTCCTTCATCTCGCAATTTTTCCGTTGCCGTTGCAAGCTCTGAGTGCCGCTGCCGCTGCCATTGATGTTGTGGCTCTAGCTGTGGCTGTGAGTGTGGCTGTTGTTGCGAACAACGCGGCCATCATCAGGCTGGCCTTGTCATCAACAGTTGGCGTCGTCGTTGGCATCGCACACAATTGCCTGCGGCGCATCTGTGGCAACGGCATGGCGGCCATTGTCTTGGCCGTCGTCGCACTCACATACAAGTGTTGCAAGCAGCAGCTGAATATGCTCAAAAGCATGCAACAAATGCCGCAATAGAAACTGTTACTATTCATGCTGCTCGAATTATGCTGCATTGCCGCTGGGTGTTCGCCTAAATAGATGCAAAAGAAGCAAAACAACAATAGTACAGGGTTAATAGTGTATAATTAGCATCACTGTTGGTAAGATAACTCAAAGTTTACAATAATTATGCAATTTTCTTAGCCGGACGGAGTAACTCAACACGCATATTTAAAGCATTTTTTCACACTTGGAACACTTTTTGACAGATTTATTGCATATCCACCCTCAACTTCCAAATAAAAAGCAAGAATATATATATTGTTTGATCAGCTACCATGCTATCCTGCCATTCCAATACTTCACATTATATTAATAAATGTTATCACCAAATCAATTTTACAAATGTGTTCCACTGAAACAGTTTCTTGAAATAAAAAATTCTGCTTAGAAATAATATTGTTCTTTATCACAAAGTAAAAAAGCCCGGCACTTACGAAGTGTAAACCAAATGGCGATATATTTTCTCGCATGGGTCGATCATTGGGATATATTTTGTGCTTATAGAAATGGAGGTTGAGAACAAGACAGCGTAATCAAGGCTTATGAAAATTAATTGTTTATAAATTATTCTTCATCCAATTTCAATTCTTTTCCTTTCAACTTCTCTGATAATTACGTAAATTCAGTTAGATTTTTCGTTATCAGGCTTCTACAGCTTAAGCGCATTGCCATAGCTGGATACCCTATATTTATTGATCTAACAAAGAATAAGGATGTGTAGATAGGTAGGTTGTGTACCTTGCAAATATGAATAAACAAGGCAACATTGCGTATGCATAACTAACTAATCGGATGCAATCGCAGCTGCATCCTGTCGCTCATGCGCGAACCTTCGTCTGACATATTTTATTAGCATCAACTCTGATAGAAAGTTCAATCGCCTGGGGCGAATACCTTGCAAATCACTGGCTCACACACATGTATTTGCACTCCCGTGCGCCGTTGCATGATGTTGCGCTTGTTTGTACTACATGCTACATTTAGATAATATCGCGCAACAGCCATCCACAACCCCTCCCCTTTCCAGCCATCAGCCTGCTCTACTTTGGATGTGTGCATTTCCTGTTTGGCAAACAAGCGGCGTAGGCAGTGCCGAAGAAAAGAAAACCAACTTGTTATGTTGCAAGGATACTCGAGCGCTCAAGCTACCGACCTCTTTCCTCCCCGCCATGCCATAACCCGCCAACTACATGCCAGCATTCAATTTTAATGCGAACGTTCGCTTGCACTCCATAAAATCAGACTCGGTTTGAAATGTTCTTAAATATGCAAAATTTAAGCTGCTCAATCGGCCCCCTCCTACCCTCATCGGCGTATTTCCTTGTTGTTTATGGGCTTTCTACAAGTATTGAGAGCTTGCAAATTTGACTAGTTTATATGTGTACAGCTTCTTCTAGGCTCGCTGCACCAAATTGCCACTCGTACCCGTACCAGTCATAAACAAAGTAACTATTTTGCAAATGCTCTGAGCAAATTGTATTCCTGTTTTCACACAAGCCCCGCAGACCCAGCAATGCAATTACCGCCCTACCACGCCCAGCGCACAGCGCCCTGCCGTGCACTTGGCATTACTGAAATGCTAAAATGCTGAGCAGCTGAAATGTTGAAATGCTAAAATGCTAAAAATTAGACTGTGACCGTGCTAAGCGTAGCAGGCTTTTCGCGTAGCGCTAGCAGGCAACTCCCGTCATAAACATTCAAAACTGTCAGACACGGCAACTGGCTAAAGTATACATAAATGCGAGCGCGCACACACACACACACATGCTCGTACACTCACACTCAATAGTACACTCATATATAGTATAGGTGGACTCGTACTTACCAATAATTACGTGCACATAGACGCTCGAGGTTTTTGCTACAGTTGGCACACAGGTGTAGTTTCCGGTGTCGCTGGGCATGGCGCGCTTGATTTTTAATCTGTGGAAAGACGGCAAACAAGTACACATTACGTCCACATACATACACTGCCGAAAATGAGTGACAACATTTAAATCTTGAAACTGGAAACATTTTTTAAAATTTACTGAACCCTTTCAATAGAAACTTCGCTTGTATCTAATTAAATTTGTTTACTAAACAAAAGAGATATACCATATACATATAAGTATTCATTGCCACTTCAGTTTTCAAGAAAAATGCATGCCATTGAGTTGACATTTTCTGTCAGTGTATGCGGCAACACATGCAGTCAGGTGCAGCGCATGAAAGTGAATGGGAACAGCTCCACATGCCAAATGCTCTCTGCCCTTCCTGCACTTGCTCCCTGCCCTCAAAGAAAAACCTGGCAAACGAACATAAAATGTGTGTGCAGAAAAGAAAAAGCACATGGCAAAGGAAAACTGCTACTGTAATGCAGCGAAACATTAAAAACTTTGCTACTTTATGTGACAGCATAATGTGCGATTCTGCCTTTCCCCGATTCCCCGATTCCCCTTTCCCCCTGTTCCATTGTGGAGAAAGCAGCTCAGCCGTCTAGTCGTCAGGCTGGTGCCTCAGCTGTAGCACCTGCATTTTATGTTCACCTGTGTCGTTAGTTAACAACATAAACCGGCAATAATCACATGTACATGGCTAACTGGCTGGTTGGCTAACTACTGTGACTGCGACTGTGACTATAACTATGACTAGGGATGCTGCTGTTGTTGCTGCAAGACGCAAATTAAAAGTCACATACGGATAAACGCATTGCAGGATTTCGCATAAAGCTGTCAGCACAGCGCCCGAAGGTTGGTTTTAAATTTTGTACACTGTTTGCAAACGACAAGCTCTGGCTATGCTGAATACGGACAGATGCTGCTGCTGCTGACTGACGCATTAATTAAGTGCGCGACATTGTAATGCAAATAACTGAAATGCCCACAGCTGCCGTTCCACATACCTCGAAGTCAGACCATCCGACCAGTCGTCCTCGACGCTTATGCGTGCCATGGAGCTGTCGATTTCGTTCTCACTTTTTCCATCTAGCATTTCGCTGCCTAAAATGTAGAATGAAACCAAGTTATATTCATTGAATTATGGTTTATTTTGAATTATCTTTGATAGACTAATCTTTGATTAGACTTGAAACAAACTGAAGCATTGTCAGTTTCAAACAAAATTCAAAATATAAAAAAAATAAAAAATAAAATTGGTATCTAAACTCACCTTTATACCAGAATATGTTGCCCAGTTCATGGGGTCCCTGCATAATTTTGCAAGTCAAGTTAATATCACTGCCGGTCTTTACCATCAAATCGCTCGGGCCGTATATTTCCGCTTTGAGCTCTGTCCAAAAATGGATATAAAACGAAAGGAAAACAAAAAGGGGCAGAACAATGCCTCGCTTAAGTTACTGCGGTTAACTGCTGTATTCTGTGATAGACAAAAGTGCCAGAACACTTTTATAATGATAATAATACATAATAATGTTAATGATAACGCACAAGAGCGCGCTGCTTGCTGGCTTTTACTTTATTACACAGACGCGTGTCTCTATTATGTGGGTGATAAGCTTTTGTTATGCCTTATAAAAGCCTGCAGCAGAAGAAGCAAGAAGTACTTAAAGTACTCAAACGCACACTCACATGGTCTGCAATACAATGCTCACACATACACGTTAAGCAGCCAACGACCACCCCACCTCGCATACCTGCACTTCGAAAGCTTAGCGGTTTTGTTTTCTTTTTTCTGCTGACCAGCCTATTGTTTGTACATTTGTCTTAAATCCGACGCTTTTCATTTGCACAAAAGAGAGTGAACAAAAATTGGGGAAGAAATATAAAATGTCAATATACAGTATTTTGTTGCTTAGCCTGCAACTGGCATTAAATTCAATTGAAAATTGCTCTAGACAGCGCGCCAAATAAGATTTTTGTGTCAGCAGCCTTGATTGTATGTGACTCTTGACAGCTTGGTAATGGAAAAAATGCTTAAGCTGTCTGTGGTTTGATGAAATCTTTCAAACATCGATACTCGCAGTGTAGTGTAGTGTAGTTACCATAAATCTCTTCGCTGCTGCTAATGGCACTAATGCAAACTAAATACATGCGCTCGAAAGTAGCACACCTAGCAGCCATCTACAACATGCGCTCTACAATCCACAATATCGACAAAAACAACAAACTGTGCTCCACTTTCGCTAAACGCCAGCCCAACCCAAGCTATAGCTGCAGCTGTTGTTGTGCTAGTCCGCAACTTGGTTTTGCTTTACAACTTCCACCTCTGCACTAAATAACCGCAAAGCCATGGAAAATAAATTGCAGCAGCGACTACCGCGAATACGACCATGGGCCTGAGTCTCAACGCCTGCAAGCTGCATGCAAGACATATGATACTTTGGAAGTTTTTTCCCACGTCATGCACGCCTGGCACACTCGTCTGTCGATGTGGCTAAGCGTTCTATTCAATCGTGTGCGCACTAAAAGGAAAAAATCCGATGCACAAAAGGTATAGCATATTTTCGGGCGCTGATTCGCATGCGTTTAATACTTTTTCAGCCCCTCGCATCTATTTGCGAGCTTTTCTGTGTGTCTACGAGCTTTGTGTGTGTGTGTTGTGTGCGAGTATGAGTGGATTAGTCAGCGTTCGCATTTACCGTTCATAAATTGCATTATTTCGGGCGTCGACGCTGTCAAAGGAAAAAGCTTTTTACATACATCGATCCATGCTACAGCATGTGCTTTGATACGATTTAGTAAATTTTGCTATTGTGAAAGAAAAGTTAAAACTATTTTCATTGACATCATTAACATTTTCCCATTTTTGTAATTTTTAGAGCCAGCCATCACCATGACGTCCCGTCAAAATGTAGACGAAAAGCTGCGCTTGTTAAAAACTGATGTCTGAAATAATTTTGTGGTAGCCATCAATATGTATGAAAGGAATTAAGCTTAATACTTCATTGTATTATACCTTGATGGTGTATATATCACACAGAACAAAGGATTGCACCACTAATTATATATATGTATATTCTTGATTACTACGATAATATAAAAATATAGAATAAAAACGCTTTAAAGTATATTTTCCATATAAACTAGTGCATTTTAAAATAACAAAAATGGAGAATGTGACAGCCATTGATTACGGCGCCGAGTCGTTAAAGTAATTCCCGAATATATTTATACACTGCTGCGGCTTAAAATCACATGAAGAGCTAAACAATCCCCAAATAGAATTCGAGCTCGATGGCGATTATCTAGCTGTTGTATATTAGCTCCCAGCACACTCACGCGCTCACAAACACATGCGCAAAAGGCAAGCGAGAGGGAGAGGGAATAGGAGGGGAAGAGGGAGAGTTTGTTGTACCTGGGAAAACAATTGTGGCACCAAAAGCTAACCGTCTATGACTTTTGGCGCCTGCCGTTGGGTCGACTACTCGTACAAACAAAACGGCTGCGCTGTGCAAACAAAAAGAAAAATGGCTAAAATTATTGCCACACTTGCATTTGTGCGACTGACATTGTGAGCACCCGCTTACTATGTATACGTATAGTATATGAGCGTGTGTGTGTGTATTTTAGTCGCGTGTGTGTGTGTATATGGTGTTCGTGTTCGTGGTTGTGGTAAATTCATGTGGCACGTGGAGGTGTGTGGCTGTATGGGAGGTGCCCGCATTTGGCTTTTGTGCTTTGCTTTACAGTTTTTCTCCTATTTCCGCAACGCCTGCTGACAGCAAGAAAATATATATTTCACATGGCAATAACAGAAAATTTCCTTGGGGTGCTACAGCCTGCACGCACGGGACTCAGCGGGAAATTTCTTATTTAACAGTAATTAGATTAAGTGTTGGCGGCAATTGGCATGTGTTTTATGCCCCCTGCATTATAAATGAAAACGTTTACAGGTAAAAGAATGGGGATGCAAGTTTGGACGTACGTCCGAGTGTCGGCTTGACTGGGTATAAGCAAAGATCACAAACAATCTTTTCTTATTGCTCACACTGCTCGGCGACCGAACAGCCCATGGCTATTTGAGTTTTCATTTTGCCTGGCCAAGTTGACCCATCAAAAAGTTGCAAAGTCTACAGCCAACTTGCTTTGTTGGCCAATCGTTGGCCATGTGCCAAAGACCACTGACAGCTGCCAACAGCGGTACAAACACGTCACACACTCACACACACAAACATAGCTGCGGCTGTGGGCAAACAGAAGCAGCAGCCGCAATTTTACTAGCCGCTGAGCCGCCTTGTTTACAAAGTCCACATCCGTAGTCCCCATCTTTGCACTCACACTGAGAAAATTATGGTTCACATAAGAGAACAAAGGTGAGGAATTTTCAATTTTGAACTACGTAGTACGTACTATATGTTCGTTATTCTGCAGATAGTTTATGTTACGGATTATTGTTCCGTTAATTGCAATTGATGGCTAATCTTTAGTGAACAACATTTATTAGTGGACTCTTTTTATTTTTATTTATTTTTGTTTTTGTTCCATTCGAATCGGCCTACATAAAAGCACTGTTACAGAATTTTAAAACTGTTAGTAATTTTTTAAAGCATGCTTTATGCGATGATGGTAGCGCCGTGACTCGAACCGAGTCAAACTCAGGAACAAACTCAAATTGTGGACATTTTTGTTTATGTGTTCAAATTTGTAATTTATCAGGACAGTGAAATAGTTCAAATTGTAATCCAATTTCGGTTCAAAATATATTAATCATTTTTAACATTGTATAATCGACTGTTTCGATCATTTTAAATGTTATCAAATTTTAAATGAACTGGTAGCACCATATTTGTCATTAGTTTTAATAGTTTTAAGTAATTCCCTTTGTGAACAATTTTGTTACACATTTTTGAATTGGAATACTAATAACGTGGTTTTTTTAAGTGCATGTGCTCAGCTGCTTGGATAGCTTGCAAAATTTTGTGCAGCCACAGCAAACGTATACAGAGGAAAACATGAAAATGCATTTTCATTTTTCTTGATTTCGCGTACATAAAACGCGCATAAGCCTATGCCATAAAAATTTAGAGCAATGAACTTTGTGCATGGCATACTTTTGGGCGCACTCCCTTTCTCTCACACACAGACACACAAGCAGCCACAAACACACGCGGCATATACATATGTATTAACATTTTTTACTTTTGTAAGTAAAAGACTATATACGTATTTATACATATATACACTTATATACATACATATATACATACATATAAAGTTTTGTAACTTGTTTGCCGCTTTTTGCCAGCATAGCTGTAAAAATTTATTGCTCTGCATATGCTGATGTATGTGTATCTGTCTGCTTGTGTTTGTGTTTGTGTTTCTGTTTGCCCAAGCAGCATATTTATAGCCTCGTTTTCCCCTAAGTGCCGCATGATTTTACATTGCATCTCAAAAATATATAAATAAGTAAAAATTTAAGTGGCCGAAGAGCTCTTTAAAGTTCAATGGCTATTCCTTTTGACAAGTCTACGCCTCACATCCCAAGTTGAAGCGTAAATTGCGCGGAATTAATCGAGAAATCAAATTAATAAATTCAATTTGTAAAAGTCAGCAGCAAGCTACTCACAATTGATGAAGTATTTTGGGCTCGGGTCGCACTTGTCAAAAACTTGCGCCGCATTTTCCAATTGACAATGCAAAAATGAAATGCCAAAACATCATCATAAACATAAACCGCATTTGCTTCGTGAGCCAGTCCCACCATTCATTTATTTCGTTGTGATTATTATTATTATTATTAATAATTCCCCAGCGCTGTCTTGCCAAATTGAAAAACATTAATCATGGCAGGACCTAGGCCAACGCATTCATGATATTGGCATAATTTATTACGCACACGGACGAATTTCCACCGACATTCTAGTGAGAATATTTGCGAGCAAGAAATGGAAGGCTCTCTCTACCTTTTACTCGCCCTAGCTATCACAATATAAATGCCGCAAAATTATTGTAGTAGAGGACAAAAACTTTCCAAGTGCGCAAATAACCGTGCTCGAGTGTGTGTGAGAGATTTGTGGCATTGTTGCTACAGCAAAATTGTGTTACTAATGCGTGTACTTTCAATTTCATTTGGACTAAGTACCGCCATAGATTGTGTTTGCCCCATGCTGTAACATACCATATTTTTTCCATCTTCGTCTCTGCTGCTTCGGGCCATCTGAAAATTCATTTTCATTTTATTTTGTTTAGGTTTTTCACTCTCCGCATCGACGCCATTTGCCCAACATTGCATTCGTGCCCAAGCTCGCATAAATAAAACTTAATGCACTTTTTAATGCTACTCAATTTGTTGTATATCCTCATATACATAAAATAGCTTTTAACCATTCGCACTTGTTAACGTTGCTCCAGTACTCATTGTCAATGTACTCATTCACATATGCCACTAACAAAATACTCATACACAGTCAGTCTAGAATAAACGCTGATTCTTGCAAGTAGACTCAAACATCTCTCGCATCATTTATTGCTCGGCCACCCCAAACACAACAATTGGCGACGGGGATAAACTAATCATATCAATTCGTAGACTTATTAATAGTGACGAAGTTGATTAAAACAAAACATTGCCCAATTCATCAATTGGTAACGCGTATACATATTTCGCCGCAATTCTAGGAATTGTGTATTTCATCAGTCGTGTTGGTATACATACACACAAACGTATATCAAAATGCCAAACGAAGTGAATGAAAACAGTAATTTACAACAATTACTTCTGCAGCAGCAACAATTTGCAAAAACTATGTTAGAACAGCAACAACAATGGATGCAAGAGATTCTAAAAACCAATGCTAGTGTTTCAAGCCGCTCCGCGGGTGATTCGACTATTTGTCCGCCTTTCCACAATTTCAATAGGGATCAGCAAAACTGGGAGTCCTACCTCCAACAATTAAGCCAGCATTTTCAAGCATACTCAGTAAATGACGTTGAAAAACAAAAGGCATATTTTCTATCCTGGATTGGTGCCGACGTGTTCGAGTTATTAAAAAACTTATTTGGCAGCGAAGACCTGCTTACGTATACTTATACACAATTGATCGGTAAGTTAACGGAACATTTCCAGTTCAAGCGACATGTGGTTGCCGCACGCTATGAATTTTTCAAACGGGAGATGAAGCCCTCACAAACACACAAAGAATGGGTTGCCGATTTACGTGGAATAGCACGCCAGTGTAAATTTGTCTGTCTAGCACCAGGATGCTCAGCTAATTTTGTAGACGAAATGATTCGTGACCAAATTATAGTGCATACGCCATTCGATCCAATACGTTCAGCAGCTTTGCAAAAGTTACAACCGACATTGGAAGATGTGCTCATAATTGCCGAAAGTTATGAGACAACAACTAAAACCGTTGCTACACTTAAGAACGAGAGCGAAAAGCATATTCCAGTGAACGCAGTGCACACACGCACATACGCAAACAAGAAGAAAACAGTTAGAACTGGAAACACACAAAACGCATTACAATCGTGCTCTGGCTGTGGACACTCTCACGCAAGAGAGAACTGCAAATTTCGTCATGCCCAATGCAATCATTGCGGTAGAAAGGGACACATAGCTGTCGTTTGCAAGTCCAAGCAACAGAACAAAAATGATCATAAGATACGAAGGGATGATCAAAGTAAAACCGTCAACGACGCACAACGTTTTCGTCAGCCAGAAATTATACACAGTGTTACAGGTATAGTGAAATTTGATTCAAATAAACACACTATTGAAGTCGAAGTTTTGCATAAATTTATAACATTTCAAATGGATTCAGGTGCAACCGTTTCAGTTATAAATTTACAAACATATCAGCAAATCAACAGCCCGAAGCTGCAAAAGAGCAACAAAATATTGCACGCCTTCGGTAAGCAACCAATTCCAATATTAGGTGAGCTACACACTGTCGCAAGATGTGGTAATAAAGAAGACAAAATAACATTAATAGTCGCAAATGTCGAGAGCGCAAACAATCTTTTTGGCTTAGATTTATTTCAAACATTCGGTTTCGAAATTCAACAAGTGGCAAACTTGGTTGAACAATACGCGCCTCAAATATCTGTTCTGTGTACTAAATACAAGGAAGTATTTGAACCGGCTCTTGGAGTAATCAAAAACTTTAAGGCAACCGTCACATTGAAACAAAATGCAACACCAAAATTCTTCAAATCAAGACAAATACCTTTCGCTCAACTAGCAGATTTCAAAGCAGAATCTGAACGCCTTACAAACGCAGGTATTTGGAAACCAATCAAATTTAGCAACTGGGCATCACCTATTGTTTTAGCTCCGAAACCGGATGGAACAATACGAATTTGCGGTGATTTTAAACTAGCTGTCAACGCGCAAATTGACATCGAACAATACCCGTTGCCTACACGAGAGTCGTTGTTACACACCGTTCGTCGTGGTACACATTTTTCAAAAATTGATCTCAAAGACGCCTATCTACAAATGGAACTAGACGACTCATCTAAGCAATTTATGGTCGTGAGTACACCTTTGGGTCTTTTTCAATATCAACGATTACCTTACGGTATAGCTAGCGCTCCTGCTATTTTCCAACGTTACTTAGAACAACTTCTAAATGGCATAGAAGGTTGTGGTAACTATCTCGACGATATAATTATAACGGCCCCAACAGTAAAAGAACACATTAGTCGTGTGGAACAAGTCCTAAAAGTTCTACAAGATAATGGTGTTAGATGCAAAAAGCAAAAATGCTTTTTCCTAAAGCATGAAATTGAGTATTTAGGCCGACGTATTAGCGCACAGGGAATTCTTCCTGACCTATCGGGATTGCGTGCTGTAAAGGAATTAAAACCGTCGACTAATTTAAAGCAACTAGAAGCCTTCATGGGTAAGGTAAACTACTACTGCAATTTCATACCAAACTTCTCCGAGCTGTCCGCACCACTCAACCAGCTGCGTAGAAAAAATGTAGAGTTCACTTGGGGTCCAAAACAACAAAACGCCTTCGACGCACTTAAGTCTCACATCATCAACGCAACACAATTAGCTCATTTTCATGAGGAATTGCCGGTTATCTTAGCAACAGATGCATCAGAACATGGTATCGGTGCAGTCTTATCAAACATCCAGCCTGACGGAATGGAACGCCCCATCGCTTTCGCATCTAAAACACTTGATCAGCATCAGGTCAACTACAGTCAAATCGATAAAGAAGGTCTTGCTATAATCTTCGGCGTAAAATACTTCCATCAGTATCTTTATGGGAGAAAGTTTATTCTAATAACAGACCATAAACCGCTTGTAAATATTTTCAGCCCCAGTAAGCATTTACCTACGATTGCTTCACGTCGACTGCAACGCTGGGCGATCACATTGATGGCTTATTCCTTTGACATCAAGTATCGTGCTACATCCGCACATGGCAATGCTGACGCATTATCACGCCTTCCTGTTGGAAATGATGAACAATTTGATAGGGAAGAGGCATGCTACAATATCACCGATATTACACCTCCTATCAACGCCGATGTCATACGGAAACACTGCGAAAACGATCCAACGATTAAAAAAGTCCGCAACTATGTCATTAACGGTTGGCCGGAAAAGTTCTCTAAAAAAGACGACGATCTTAAGCCATATTTTAACAAGAAAATCAGTTTAGTCTTACTACAAGATAATCTGTATCTACAATCGGAAGCAAACCGCATCATAATTCCGAGTTCTTTAAGACCTGTCATCTTAAAGCTACTTCATGATGGTCATTGGGGAATCATAAGAATGAAGCAAGCAAGCAGACAACATGTTTGGTGGCCTGGTCTTGACGACGACATTTCAAAATTGGCTTCAACTTGCGATATTTGTAAACGCAACAATTCATCGCCAGTGAAACAGTACCAAAGTTGGCCAAAGGCTACTACGCCTTGGGAACGAATACACATTGATTTTGCGGGTCCAATTTTTAATTCAATGTGGCTGATTTGTGTCGATGCTTATTCACAGTTTCCTTTTGTTACAGAGCTATCTTCAACCACATCGCAAAGTACAATAGCAGCTCTTACAGATATTTTCGCCATTGAAGGATATCCAAAAACGTTAGTCAGTGATAACGGTCCTCAGCTTACATCCGAGACATTCAAGGATTTTTGTAACAAACATGGAATAACGCACATCACAACAGCTCCATTTCATCCAGCATCGAATGGGTTGGCCGAACGGTTCGTCCAAACATTTAAAACATCTGTAGCAAAAAAATCTCCAAGAGGGACATACAACTAAAATGGCAGTAATTAAGTATCTAGCTTCATATCGATTCACACCGAATGCAGACAACAAAACCCCAGCTGAGTTACTTCACGGAAGACCAGTTCGCACCTTGTTGAGTCAACTTTTTGAGCAATCACACGACAATCATCGTAGCCATCACTCCGAAAAGTACGCAATTGATCAACAAGTCTTTGCACGAAATTACGCCAAGGGAGAAAAATGGGTAGAAGGTACCATAGTCCGTTCCCTGGGTAAAATGCTGTACATCGTAAATACACACGTATTTGGTCATATCAGACGCCACATCAACCAACTCAAGCCGAGATTTGGTCCAGAAACCACTAAAACAGATACTTCTGAATTCTGGTGGCATCATCACTTGGAAAAGTCATCGACACCAACAGAGCAACGATCTACATCGCCATCGCTAGGTGCTTCCCAACCACTAGAAGCCCTACAGCCATCTTCAGCATCACGGTCAGCAGTCTTGCCTTCGCAACCGGAAGTCCGACAAGGTTCCAGCCACCGCCGCTCTGGCATTCCTGTTCGAAGAAGCACTCGGATTCGCCAGCTTCCCGACCGCTACAGCCCTACTAACATTAGAAATAATTAACAGCGAATGTGTTGTAATTTAAGGGAGGAGATGTTGTATATCCTCATATACATAAAATAGCTTTTAACCATTCGCACTTGTTAACGTTGCTCCAGTACTCATTGTCAATGTACTCATTCACATATGCCACTAACAAAATACTCATACACAGTCAGTCTAGAATAAACGCTGATTCTTGCAAGTAGACTCAAACATCTCTCGCATCATTTATTGCTCGGCCACCCCAAACACAACACAATTCATTTTGCCATTGTAGTTTTAAGTGTCCTCTTGCTTCTTCGTTCCTTCGCCTTCAAGTGTACGAGTACTGCGTATAATAAGTAAAATAAACTTTCGCGCACGAACAATTTGCATACGAATTGGGTCACTGGGCATCAAAACAGCGGCTAGGGGCACCAAAGTAAATAAACAACAAGTCGCGGAAAGTCGAAGGTTGAGAAAGTGTTTCTTAAGACAATGAATGCCCTTAACTTTTTAAGCAGGAGCAACGATGCAATTTAGCTTTTAATATGCACAACAATTGGTAGATGAGTTTATTGATTGCAATATTCCTGCATCAATTAATAGTTGCACTTGAATCAGTTGTAAACGATAAGAAAACAACGGTAGCGACCATGAATTCAAGTGGGTGGATTTATTATTTGGATTTCGAACACAACAAGATAACTTAAGAAGTCTTGACTTTTCTTTCTTTGCGTGCCATTCATAATCAGAAAGATGTAGATATTAGAAAAATATCTCTAAAGTGCATCGTAAATAAGGTGTAACTGCTAATTGCAGTTGAAATAATTTTGTTGAATACACAAGCACAAGCGCACAAATTGAATGTCTAACTTGGAGGCACAACGACCGTGGCTGCTCTGCTTATGCTCTGAAATTATTTGCGCTTGATTGCATTCAATTTGTAGCTGCTAATGTCAACAACAACAGCAACAATGACGCGAAGGACAAGGGCGGCAGGCGAAACAACAAAAGTGTTGGCTGGTTTATGGCGCCCGAAATGAGAAATCCACTTGCCAGCCAGTCTCTCAGTAAGATGCAGAGATAGACAGTCAGACTGTCAGACGCTTTCAAATTACCGTCGTAGCCATCAAGTCACTGTTCCTGCCGCTTTCCCTTTACCAACACATTACACCTGCTTTTTAGACCATCGTTCCCCAGCCACTTGTTCATTGCGTCAGCAATTTATTTTTAACCTTCTTTAGACATAGTCAGCTCGTCGTACTACACAGCCACGCTTGATTACATTCGTTCTTGTAAACAAATTTTTCAACAGCATCAGCAACACCTTGCCCGTGAGCCCATTAACCTTGTGCGTTGCAAATGTTCTCTCATTGCGTTGACAGACACATACTCCCGCACTCACACATACACATACAAACACACACAAATACACACTCAAAAAAACAAACCTACACAAACACGCACAAAATATAAAATTTCATTTTCAATTTGTTCACTTTATCAGCAGCACGTTGGCAATTTGCTAGACATTTTAAATTAAACCTGGCCGAGTTGCCAGAGAGTCGAGTTCAGTACAGTTATCTAGTTTGACACCTAGTCGCCACATAAACATTGCAATTTAAGAATCTATTTAAGTGCTTGCCACGTGCATTAACATTTCTAAAATATTATACAACTGGCGCCGACGGGCGTTGGCGACTCTTATGTTTATGCCTTTATCAGAGTCCTTTGGTCAATCTGCCGCTAAGTAGAGTTGTGCGCGTGACAAGAAATATTGTCAGGATCACGCACGTTCACGAAATCAAATATCAAATTTCAAACTTAATTTTTATTTGAAATTAAATATTAGTTGTTTTGAACTCTTGAGATAGCAGAGTACAATTTTTATGTAACGCATTATTCATAAAACATCCAACACGTAAATTGGAAAAGACCAAAATGATATTGGCGAGACAAAATACACAAACATAGTTTATATCAGTTTTCTGATATTTTAAAATAAAATACAATTTTCAGGATCACGCACATTCACGAAACCAATTGTCGTTCGGATACTTAATAATTATTTAAAATAAAATAAAACTTCTTTTAAACTTACAACAACAATTCAATTGTTATGCAATGCGAAATCTTTATAAATTTTCCACAATAGTTTCCTGCAATAAAATATGGATCATAACATTCTCTAAATTTATTGTAGTTGGGTTTCAAATATACTTTGTCTTGTTGCTTTTAATTAAGCAGCTTAATCGTTTTGTAAATGTTCGTACAGTACGGAATTTTTCGGTAAGAAATTCGAAACGTTTATAGCTCTGACAGCTCTATTTATACCTTTACCCAAGAACGAAGAAGGCGTGTTTAATAGAATTTTTGCAGAGCGAAAGCGTAAAAATTCTAAATTTATGGGGTTTTTAGTGCAGAATTTATTTGCATAAGCGCATAAAAATTCAAGCACAAACAACAGAGCAAGTTGCTTATGACTGAGAGTATAAGAGAATAAAAGCAGCACATTGAGGCAAACCAAAATTCAAATATTTTATATATTCATTGTATTTGAGATATTAAAATGATTCAAAGGTGATGAATTATCAACAACATTGTGTCCGACCAAACCGCACATTTTAAATACCGGATATTAAGGAAATTACTTCACATTCTATGTTGTACATACATATTTCACAGCAAATTGTTTTCGCACCACAATGCATACGACTATTTAAACGTTTACTTCAGCTTCTGTTGCCATGCCATGAGAATAGTAGTATGTCGAATATTTTTTATATGCACGTTTCTTTTTGGGCATTCACATGAGTACACATCTGCCTTTGTAAGTGTGTGTGTGTGTATGTGCGTGTGTGTGTGATGAAGGAGCGAGCTGGAACAGGACCAGTGCACCATGCAGTCGTTACGGCAGTCATTTGCATTTTCAGAAATGTAAAATTTATAGCCATGTGTCTACGCTGCTGTCTGACCTGACTAGTCCAAGTATATGCTCCCTCTGACTTTCTCTGTTACTTTTCCTAATATTGACTGTTTGTTGAACTGTGGTTGTTGTTGTTGCTGTTGTTGTGGTATTATTTCGTTGGCGTTAGTCTCATTTCATATTTTCAGTGCACTAAAATATTTATCATCAAATTCGTATGCATCGTGCAATCGTATATGTGTATATTTTGCGTTTAAATGTGAGGAGGACAAGGTGTCGGTGTGGGTCCCTGGCTTAGTTGTCCATCATAACCGAATAACAAACACACACATTAATATAAATTTAAAACAAATAGTTTCATTGAATTCACTGTTCCGCACCAAAGAGCTTAAATGAAATGCATCTCTAATTTGTGCAGATAAAAACTGCACCGAACATTCATAAATATGTATGAAACTCGGACCAATCCACAGACATATCTGAATAGTGGGTTAGCTCCTTCACATATACACATAATGCTTTTTCAACTCAACCAGTCGGACCCTGCTTTTGACTCAAATTGCTGACTGTTGTTGTCGAATTATGGATGTGTGGGAGTGCAAGTTATGGTTAATGAGTGGCTCACGGAAACATAGAAGGCGTTTAGTGCAAATTTGCTTCTAAACAACAACCTGAGGATGACACCCGATATGCAGTGAACGGCTAACAACTGGCAGCTAAACAGACACGAGTAAGTAATACTTGCTCCCAAAGGTACTGACATTTAACCGGCAATCTTCCGCCTAAGCTCCCCTTGACAAGCAAAGCAGACACATAAACACATATCCGCACATACGAGTACATGGTACAATAGGAGCTACTTAAGCAACCCAATTTTCACATAATCGAATTTGAAATTTTATAATCGCTTGAAACAAGGAGCAGTAAGCTCAGTGAGCGGCTAACTAGAATTGCGCCGAAAGGGCAGCAGACAGCAGACTGGCAGGAGTTGATGCCAACGACTCTGCCCAAAGGAGCATGAACGCATATACATACATACATATATGTATACATGTATGTAGGTGTATATATACATATGTACATGCATGTGCAGAAAACCGTGTAGTGTGCGCTCCTGCTCGCATTAAACCAAATGCCATACATATTGAATGGCTTCCTTAAGCTTATAAAGTCCGTTGTACTACTACATAGTTTGTAGCTCTTAGGTTGTACAGCTTCCACACTTAGTTGCCTTAAACAAATTTGAAGAGCACTACATGAGTACATAAAAGTAATCACTCGAGTGGTTTGTGGGCAATTTTCGCAATGCTATATACATATAGTATATACACTTCTATGTACATAACCGGATGACTGTTGTGCCCAAATTTTTGCAAACTTTCAAATTTTGGATTTAAACTATTTTGTGTGCGGTTTGGCCGAAAAGCTGCCCACAGCACGAAAATTACAGTTATTGTTGAAAGGAGATGGACAAAGCTTTTAACGATTGAGTCCCTTTTGCCACATACAATATCCATTCTTTGTAATTAGATATTCATAAACAAAAAGAAGTATCAGTAGAATTTGAAGAGATTAATTTAAATATTAAATGTTAGCATCCTTTTCATATGACACTATTTAGAATTGACAATAAACTGAGGAAAAAAGCTACAAAATAAAATAATAGAAATACAAGGACCAAGGACCGGTAACGTTTTTAATAAGTATTAATAATAAATTAAAAAAGATCAAAATAGAGATAAATTACCCGAACATATTCTGATATTTTATAAGAAAATATTTCCTTTTTCCTTGTCTAACTCACAAAGAACTTACAGATCACCAAAAACATTTTTTAATTATTTTTCCAGAGCGACCATCCAATACAATAAATGTAGCAGGTAAAGGAATCAAATTCCAAAGCCATCAAAATTCCCAGCCGTTTTCAAATCAGCTTCCGCTCGAGTTCGCTAATCATTAATTATTTGAAGTTGGTGAAAACATGCTTCATAACAATTAATATATAAATATAAGAACATTCCACAAACTATAATAAAACATCTTACCGATAAAACTGCATCAAGGAATGACAACTTCCTATTACATAAAGCAAACGATATGGAAGGACTGCCCAGTTTTCACATTTGCAAGACTTGTTTAAATCGTCACAGGTATGTCAATTCGAATTCAAGTCGTTATTAAATGTTTGTCCTTTTTACAGTAATTTTCGTAAACTTTGCTAAGCCTTCCGAAAGCATTATGTGAGTATGTAATACATACTTCGCATAGCTTGCAAAAATAGCGCCCAAAATGTTGCCCTTTAATGCCTGGCAGTGAAAATATGCAACAACAAACAGTTTGCCACAAAAATGGAACAAATATGGCAATAATTTGAGGCTCTCAGCGTGCCAAGACATGGCATCGCCCTCGGTGGCTACTTCGCAGTAGAGTTTTCATGATGACCATAAAAATGTTCAAGTGGTGGGCATCTTACTTACCTACAACGTTGAAGTTATATGACAAGGACATCTTTGGCTCAGTATTGATTTGGCACTCGTAGACGCCAGAGTCGCGTGGCTGCGGATATTTGATTTGCAAAGTCCAATTGGCTGAACCTTCGGGCCGTAGAACCTGCACAAAATACAATGTTATATTAATAACTGGCAAACACGTTCTTTTGAAGGCCGTGTCTCGCACCTGAAAACGCTGATCGGAGGTGTATGTAGTGGATCCAGCCGTGAGAATATGCAGATCACGTTTCCGTATCCAGGAAACCTAAAGTAAACAGAGGGAAAGGAAACGGTGAGATTATTGTATCCATGAACATTGCCTACTCTGTCTGAAAAGTTAAAAAATTACAAATTCCGCACTTAAAAGTTTTCCAGAAGTGCGTTTGCTAGCGCCTTCCATCTTGTATTTTTCCATTCACACTTGCAGCGTGCAAAGTTTACATTACATTTGTCGGTCGGGCGCCATTTCTTGGGTACGTTTTTCTTCTGTTGGCTGCGTGCGTTAATCTTTACAGTTTGCTTTTGTTTTCGCATTTAATCAACGACAGGAAAATAAACAACAGCGGCAGCAAAGTTGCCAAAGTTGCCAAAGCACATAATCCATGTACATTTAAGCGTGAAAAGGGTTGTGTATACGCCGCGTTGACACGCACAAGTTCGAAGCGAAAGTCCAAACTGTGTCGCATGGGAAAGGCAACAGCAGCACATTGTCTTTATCAGTGCTCAGGCCTACGTTTTTATTCGACATTTGACATAAATTACCAGACAATTTCAGAGTCTTTAAGCAAGGCACATTTCTACGGCTTGTCAGATTTTAAGCCGCCAACGACAACGGTGTCAACGTTGGGCAAAGCAAATGTAAATAGTTCCTTGCTATACAGCTAGGAACTATTCACTATCAGAGGCTACACTTTATCCCGTGTAGAGCGTCTCTGAGAGAACAAAAAAGGAAACAAACCAATGCTTAAATTTCCAATTTCATTCTGATTTTATTTCTGAAATTCCTTCAGTATTTATACAATTTTTGTCTTATTTACTACGTTTTTTCTTATGTACTTATAATTCAATATTTGACTCTTTCTTATTTTCTAAACATTGTACTTACTCTAATTTTACATTTTTCGTCTTATTCTATCCTAACGGTGTCAAGTGGATTTCCCCTCCATATGTATATTTCAAGCCTTTCTTAAACGCAGTGTGCACCCACCCTTAAACGCTGTCGCGGTCCTATTTGCCTATGCATTTTCTGTTATCTACTATGCGTTGGTCTGTACCACTGCTGCATGCGGCTATTTTTAGACCGAGATTTGTTGTTTAGCCTATCTACTGCTTGTGCTCCCTATGCTAACTTCTGAGCTCTTGTTCACTTTTGTGAACATCTTGCGCAGGGCAAACCTAACTGTCGCTGGCGACTAAACTATGTTCACTTTTGTGAACATCTTGCGACGGGCCATAATGCTTATTGACTTATGCTTCTAATTGCATCCAAGAATCAAGTTGTATTTCTCTTTCCACTTTGTCCAAAAACGGATTTTCTTGCTTGGTACCAATTTCCATCGGTCCAATACTGAAATCCCTTTGTTATATTTCCGATCTATGCCTTCGAAAAGCGGTTCGTGAATTCGAAATTGTGCTGGCTTTAAACTGTTCTCTAATTCAATGCTACTGTCTAACCTGTACAGTGGCCCGGAGTTCAGTATTGCCTTGATTTGCACTAGTGACGTACTTATTTTCTCGTACGTTAGAGTGCGTTCTTTTATTATTTTGTTTTGGTAATTTTTTACTGAATCTACTGAATCTACCCCCGTTCTTTGGATTCCTCCGAAGTGAGGACTTGCCAGAGGGATAAGGTGAAATTGTGGTCTTTCTAATTTTAAACCAACAGTATTTGGCTTAACTGCAGTTGTCTTTTTTACAGACACACTTTGTGCTGCTTGTACAGTGGAATTGGACATTTTCTCGATCTTTAAATTTGCCTGTTTGTATTGTGATTTTGAAATTACTTTTTCATTCGTTAATTGGACGAAGTCTGCACCTACGAGGTCAGGGGTTTTTATACATTGGACTGAGGATAATTTATCGTGACATTCTTTGGTGTCTGTTTCCTCAGAAATTCCTAATTGTGGTTGTATAGTAATAGAAGAAGAAGTAAATGTCTCAGCACCGACAAAATCGTATTTTTCTTCGAACTTTAAATCTTCTGATTTTGGGACCAATCTTTCTTCCGTTGATTGAACAAAATCTGCTACTATGGGCTCAGAGGACTTTTCCAATTCGAATGAGGCTAATTTTATGCCTATTTCCTCACAATGATTGAAGTTGCCTTCTTTCTCAGTCTTTTCTTCTGAGACTTCCCAAAAACACCTAAATTTAGGAAACTCTATCGTTTCCTCAAACGCCTTTTCTGAGACTTCATTTATAACATCAAACTTAGGAACATCTATCTCTTCAGTAGCTTTCACTGAGACTTCCCAAAAATCCCTAAATTTGGGAAAATCTAATTTTTTCTCACAGGCTTTCTCTGAGACGTCTCCCATAAAACTAATTTTAGAAAAATCTAAGTTTTTCTCAGCAGCTTTATCTGAGACTTCGCAAAAATCCCTAAATCTAGGAAAATCTAATTTTTTCTCAGAGGCATTCTCTAATATTTCCCAAAACTTTTCTAAGTTTACGGTAATTGCATCTACTCTATCTGCCTGTGGGGTCTTAATTTGCATTGTTTGTATTGCCTGGAGGTGTTGTTCGAGAAACTCCAAAACCTCTTCTAAGGTTTGGATTTCTTTTGTTCTCCTAGTGTACTGTTCATACTGTTGTAGTCCTGCCCTATCGAATTTTCTTAAAACTATCCTAGCCCATACTATATCTGCTTCTTTTATTCCTGTATCCATGCCGTTTATGGCATGAATACATTGCCTAGTAGTATCTAGCAGGCCCTGGACACTTTTTTCCGACTCACTATTCATTGTGGGCTGATCCAATAATTTGTCCATGTGGTAGGAGAATATTTGTCTCCTATTTTCGTATCTATCTTTCAAAATATGTAATGCCGTTTTATAATTTTCCCTTGAGATTGGCAAATGCTGTATTAGGGAACTCGCCTCCCCCCTAACTAGCTCTTTCAACCTTATAAATTTCTCAACTTCGTGCAAGTTTTTGTTCTTGTGCACCAAGTTTCCAAACATATCTGAAAAGGCTGTCCACTGTGCTATATTTCCAAAAAAGGGATGAATTTCAATTTCTTTTAATTTTAATGTGCTATTCGTGCTTTTGTCTTCATTAATTTCTTTCATTTTACGCAAAAACAGTCCTTCTACCTCTTCCAACATTTGCCCTATTTCGTTTTCAGTGCTAAAGGGGTCTTTTTCCAAGGTTTTTATACTCTCCTTTATTTCCTCAAACTTTCCATCTAAGAATTTCTTCGCTTCCGGCGCCTCTAGTCCTACGTGAAAATCTCCACTAATCTGCCTGCCAAATCTTTCGGCCTTGGCTATTACCGTATTTCTTTTCTTTTCCCACCTATGCCTGGCTTCGTCTTGAAATGGGGATGTGGCTGACATGCTTGTCTCCATTGGAGCTGATGGTACGTGTTTTTTAGGTTTGTACCTAGCTAGGCAAGTCATTATATCCCCTCTAACCTTCATCACGTTCGCCCACACGTTCTTTTGGAAATAGTCTACCTCGCCAAGACTTTTCTTGTTGTCCTCTAGGATCTCATGCCTTTTTTCGAATTTTTCCCAGAGCTTCTCTAGCTCTGCTAAGTGCTGTGAATTTTCACACAACGTTTTCTCTCCTAAATTTGTTATATTTTCAATCTCCCTATAAATCGTCTGCTGCTCTACTAAGAGATCTTTTAATTGATCCCTTGTCAACACCATCTTGTCACCTTTGGTATTATTATTTTCGACAACAAAAAATATTTTATGTTATTATTTATTTATTTCTTCTTATTTCTATTTTTCTTAATATTAATTTTGAAATGTTCTTAATTTTTTTTAATATTAGTTCTTTTTTGCTCCTTTTTCTTTTTACTCCTCTTATCTTTTAATTTTTTTTGCTTCTAACAGGTACTTCTTTTGTTCCTGTCCTATTGAAATTTGAGCTAATTTGTATAGCTTTCGCAACTGATTCCTATATTCTTCTATCGTAAGCTTTTGCGGTCCTGCATTGGGTTCCGCTGCAGCTTCTATATATGGCCTCGCGACCTTAATAATTCTATTGAATACTCGGTCAAATTCTTCCATAGAAGCAATTTGACGTTCGTCTGTGGCTTCCTGGGGATCTTTGGGGCCGCTTTTCTTCGTCTCTCTTGCTTCTTCGTCCTTCGGCGGCCCAAACCTTGTAAGGGATCTTTGGGACCGCTTTTCTTTGACCCTCTTGGTCCAAACCTGGTAGCGGTTTGCAGGGGTCTTCCTTCTGGTTTATCGGCCCAAACTTATCAGAAGTTTGGCAACCGATTTTAGTTTCGTCTTTACTAGACTCTGTATTCTTTCCCTTCCTACTTTAAAGGCTATGGCCTTAATGGTTCGGCTTTTGTTTTCGCCTTAAATTTTAATTTTTTGATTCTGACACCTTTCGGTATCTAGTTCGGATGGGCCCGCTATTGCCGACCTCGCCGTTTCCTTGCTCGAAGGACCAAAATGTAAATAGTTCCTTGCTATACAGCTAGGAACTATTCACTATCAGAGGCTACACTTTATCCCGTGTAGAGCGTCTCTGAGAGAACAAAAAAGGAAACAAACCAATGCTTAAATTTCCAATTTCATTCTGATTTTATTTCTGAAATTCCTTCAGTATTTATACAATTTTTGTCTTATTTACTACGTTTTTTCTTATGTACTTATAATTCAATATTTGACTCTTTCTTATTTTCTAAACATTGTACTTACTCTAATTTTACATTTTTCGTCTTATTCTATCCTAACGGTGTCAAGTGGATTTCCCCTCCATATGTATATTTCAAGCCTTTCTTAAACGCAGTGTGCACCCACCCTTAAACGCTGTCGCGGTCCTATTTGCCTATGCATTTTCTGTTATCTACTATGCGTTGGTCTGTACCACTGCTGCATGCGGCTATTTTTAGACCGAGATTTGTTGTTTAGCCTATCTACTGCTTGTGCTCCCTATGCTAACTTCTGAGCTCTTGTTCACTTTTGTGAACAGCAAAAAACAATGAGTATGGTCAAAAGTCAGTCAAACGATTGCCTAACCCAGCCCGCTTCCTTGGCACAGCTGAATTGTTTCAAATAACTCTCAATCCGTTCGAGGACGATGACGCCGCCGGGTCCCTAGGCCAACAAGCCATCGACCCATTGAGCCAGTCAGCCAGCCAGTCAGCTTTGTCGCAATTTTTAGCCTTTTCAGCTCATTTTTATTTTGTCCGATTTTTATTATTGTTTGAATTACATTTTCATTTGATTGCTTTGCCATGCCTTGTGTCTTGTGCTCTTTCTTGCTGTGTCTCAGTGCTGTGGCCGTGAATAACCATTAACCATGATTTCAGTTGCGACTTTTGCCATCTTATGCCCCGGACTGACTTTAATTTTGGCTTAAATTAGGCTGCTTTAGCGCCTCTCTCCTCCACTTGGCATTTGCCGACTTTTTTGCCCTTTTGGCACATTGTTTCAGATTTATTTAATGACTTTAGTTTCCCTGTTGTTGCTGACATTGTTGTTTTTGTTGTTGTTATTGTTATTGCCGTTATTGTGACACTCAATTTTAATTACGCTCAGGCAAACTTTGCCCTGCGTCGGTAGAAGACTATTCGCCATATACAAAGTATACAGGGATACAATTAAAGCCTAAATATTCTACTGTTAACATTAAACCGAAAAAAAGCTTCAAAGTTTTGCACTTTCATGTTGGTAATTAAAAAATGCTCAATGCAAGTTTCTATTGATTTTGACATCGAGGACACACCTATTTTATCTTGTGCAGATCAGCTGCGGGATGAATAAATGAAACGCAAATGCTAATAAACAATCCTTTCGGCATTAGCTCCAAATGTATTTTCGTAAAACCGTATTTATTTGATGGGCCCAAAATCAACAAACACATAACAGGACACACACCATAAAAATCATGATGGGAATACACATAGGCAGGGCGAAAAGTAGAATCGGTCACGTAATGCGTAAAAATAAAGTAACATTCAGTTGTAAAACTTTTATGTGCCAGTTTTATGCTTTTCAGCTTGGTCAGAATAGCTTTGCAATATCAATGGCTTTGCAGCCACTAGTGATCATTGCCGTTTGTATTTGTGTCTGCGGCGCCAATCAGGCTGCATGTTATAGCGAATTTAAATCATGGCCTTGCTACCGATACTAAATCAAGGGGTTGCACAGCAAAGCACAGCGGCTCATAAAAGGTCAAATATAGTATATAGGCCGGCCATTCGCATTTCGAAACATTCTCTCACGTCTCCATTTTTTTAAGTCGCAATTAGGCGTCAGCAAACAACGAACAAATTAGTATACATATTTAGTATACATATTTATCCATTTAGCAGAATGAGCCAAAAATGTTACTAGTTGATTTCCAATACATATGTCATCTCAAAATATAATGAAACGAAATATTTATCGTCCCCAAGAACATACTCGTAACAGCCTAATTCCGGCAAATAGTTCCATACGAGCCCAGAGGTCTTCTTCGATTGGCTTTATTCTTAAATATATTTGTCTTTATAGTCTCTATATGCAATATTGATTGCAACTATCAAATGGTGTCCAAAGATGGAAAAGCTTGTTATTACTATCCATCCGCTGCCTTTCCGTAACAAGTACCTCACTTGGTTTGAGACTCTATGTCTGCATATACCAGTATTTTAAAGTTGGCCCAGCAACAGCGAGGAGGCTGAGACTTGGGAATATTCCAAGAGCAGCATTTTAATATTTAATTTCCAAATATAATGCCTGCAGCAAAAGTGAAAAGTTTTACAACTTTGCACCAAACAATGTGAAGCAACTGTAGCCTTTTCACCCCTTGCCAACATTATTCATGCCTTCGGAACGCTTTCCATTTTTTTTTTTGTTTTTGCTCTCGCTACTCGCAGAACTCGCACGGATTTGCCACATTGGCCACAGGTTGCCTCCACACTACCTAGGTCGCCAGGCAGCTCGGGAGCCATTCAGCCAGGCATCCAGTCAGCCAGCCAGGCAGCGAGTGAGTTGGCCAGATAGCCGTCCCCAGTGAGACAGAGCAAACTTTGTGCTCTGGGTATAATTTTCGTAATGTCTTTAGGTTTAAATAAATACCGAAAGCATAGTTTTATATTATTTAACACTTTGTTGGTTGCTCGTGTAAAACTTTCGCCGGTTGCTTTACTTTTTCATCCCTGTGCCTTTTTCTGTCATTCCACAACACTGCCAAATGAAGGAAGTTTCCATTCTGTGTGTATGTGCATGTGGCGGCCTTTGTATTTGTATGTGTGTTCAACTTGGCGAAAATACATTAAAAACTTTGCTGACGCATTTTCTGCGTCTCCAACCATGGCCAAGTAAGCACTCAGACGACTCAGACAACTTGGTCGAGTTGGGCGACTTGGCCAAGAAAGCACGCTGAGCACAAATTAAAGCTAGTCTCTCGAATCTGTTGCCACAGTTGCAGTTTAGAGAGGGCCCCCAGTCTTTACTTAGTTTGTTGAACGTGCAAACACTTAACTAGCATTGTTGTTTTGGCTGCTGCTGCTGCTTCTGCTGCTTCTGCTACCACCGCCGGAAATGGTGTGAAAATTTCATTAAAATTCTAAAAGCCATGAAATTGTGCACATTACTTGTTTTCTTATTTACAAATTGCCAGTGCCAAGCTAATGAAGTTTGTTCACACTTGCTTTTAGCTTCCTCCATTTGGGACAACATTCGCTGCCGAATCTCGAGTGCATTTTGGCATGGCTCGTAAAGAAAAAGGCCAAGTCAATTAAACTGTAATTTCATCGGACATAAAATGATGTCGAACAGGCGCCCTTTACCTACTACGAGTACATACAACTACGTACGGGTATACGGGTATGCAAGCCATATTATAATTTATACGCCACTCGAGCGTTAAGTGCAATTATCAAACAATAAAGCTCAACAACAATGAAACCATTTAAAGAAGAGCACTTAAAAAATGTGCCCCAAATGAAGACTTCAAATGAAACGCGACTTGAAGCATTTTGTAAACAAAGTTGTAAACAGATTTTGGGAACGCGTCAGAAACAGCAATAATAACAATAGCAACAACAACCGTGCCGGCCATGCCAGCAACCTTTAAAAAAAGGGTTCCAAACTTTGTTTCATGTACTTCTTTTAGCTGGCCATGTTGTTGTTTTCGTGTTCGTTGTTGTTGCTGTTGCTGTTTTAGGTACATGACTAAATTGCCCGTGCTCATGTCATGAACGCCGGCACGCTTATGGAAATGTTGTCCGTTGGCGCCGTGCCGCGCTTCGCCGCTGTAATAAATCAACAGTGAACGGACAAGCACTTTGGCAATCCGGTGAAGTCAACTTGAACAAGCGGATTCGAGCATCCGGCAAGGCAAAACAAAAAAAACAAAAATTTAACAAAAGGGCAACATCACTGAGGAAGAGGCAACACGAACAAACCTAACGAACTAGCAGCATGAGCATAAATTACGCAGTCAACTCAAAGTCCAGTGAAGGCCATGGCAGGAGCAAGAGCACGGAGTCGAGCCTAAACCGAAGCTGAACCGAGCCTCATTTTCTGATAGGTACGAGTATGATGCGATGGCAAAGTTATCCCCCATAACTGTTCACTTTCTATTTGAGTTTACGACGAGTGTGGGCGCGCAAAAAGCGCAGCATAAAAGGCGAAAACCTATCTGCGGGTGTGGCTTGTTGCTTTTTGTGGCGATATGGAAATCTGGCAAGTGGGTAGCTGGCTGACTGACTGACTGGCTGCCTGTCTGGGCATTGACAGCGCATGTGGTTACATTCTGTCAATTACAATTAATGTATTAACTTTCTACAACCAAAGTTGATGCTCTTTTTGTTTGTGCCTTTTGTACTTACATTTATCTACACAGTGTGACTGATTGACTGTAAGAAAGAATTGGGGTCAATGGTAAGTAAATAAATAAATAAAAACCTTGTAAAGCCCAAATTCTAAATTGCGAATAACAAAAAAGAAATCCCATTAACAAGCAACAACGTTTTGGGAAAAATATGTTTGTTACTCTACTAGGTATCCTGTTTTCTTGATATACTCGTATAGTCAATTTTATAGCGATGTTCAATTGCTTCAAATACTAATCTCAGTAAAGATGTCACGCCTAAGCCTCTTTATTTATTGGTTTGTTACTTTGTAGATGTTACTATATCTCTCAAAATAAATATCTTTTGCTTATATCTCAAGCTGCATAGCTTAAGGACCCAATATCTGTATTCCCTTCCAACGACGCGCCAGTTTCTCATTAGTCACAAAATTATTTAGATAGTTCGAGCAAAGACAACATAACGACTTCCCAAAACTGTCACATTTGTTATTTATAATTACACAAATGCAACATTTCTTTACAGAAAAAGTGGTAAAGTTTTAAACAATTCTAGTTTAAAGAATACATGTAGAAATTTTTGTATGACATTTGCATTACTCTATTGAACTAGAGAAAAAATATTATCAAGCAGTCCTTGACATTTACACTAGCAAACATATAAAGTATTAATATTTGCCTTCACATATTTGAATAAATCAATAAAGCACAAGCCTACATTAAACATGCATTAAAATTTTGGTGGTACTCAAACGACTGACTTAAAAGCAAACGCTTCGAAAATATTTAATCTAATCTCTCTCAACTACAGACCATGGATTGCGAGAAAGGCGGTGAGTAAGCTTTAAGTTTTCAGATTAGATTTTTAAGATATGTAAATTAACTTGTTTGGTAGACGCTGTAGTCGGCCCACCTGGGCCGCCCACTCACAAGCCAGACACCACACTGAACATGGACATCGATGAGCTGATGTCGTCCAGCAGTGCTGATGAGACTCCACCTGGCATGATTGTGGTCGAGACATGTGTGAATGACAAGGACAAGAGCGTTTTGCCGCTTAAACAAAGCCACGGCCTTCAGCAGGGGAAACTCTTACCAAAGCCTGCAAATGTCGAATTGCATCAATTGAGCGACTCCGGCAGTTTGTTGACAGTCACAGAACAGGCCAGTTGCTCGACCAATTTGCACATGAAACCGAATGTTAAATTTCAGCCTTTGCCGACTAGTCTACACTGTGCACACGGCCGGAGGTCAGACGCAGAGGCGATGCTGGCGGCAGCTACCAGCTCAGCAGCATCACCTGATTATGGGATAAGTCATGCGACTCGCATTGACGGTGCCACACAATGCAATACAATGGAATATGACATGGCAGCTCCGACCGCCAGCGAATCGATGCCCTCAATTGGCTCTCTCGTCTGTCGCATTTGCCACAATGCCGATAATCCCGAGCAGTGAGTATACTAATTATAATAAAGTAATGTTTATTGGTTCACACACACACGCACACACACACAGTTTGAACTAGATCATACACAAAGTTACGGTCACGCTAATGTAAAGAAAATAAATTTACTTCGAAGCACTTATGTTTCCAATCATTCAAATTCCCGTCCATAATTATTTTTAATTCCTCCTTACATCAATTTGTAGTATTGCTTTTTAGCCAAGCCCTCAAAGCTTGTAAACGCCCAGACCTTGAAGAATATAAGTTTTTTTAAGCAGAACTAGTTCAGAAATTGCGTATAAGGTCCAAGAACTCAGTTGACCGTACAGATGTGCATGTATGTGTGTATTATTTGCAGTTGCAATTTTTTCGTTGCATGCAATTAGGAAGAGTTTAATTTCATTCGCAATTAATATAAAACGAATTGAAATTGCGCTTTTGCAGCCACAAATTGAATAAATTAATTGCGTGTCACTTAATGACATTACGGCAGTATCGCGTTCATTTAAATGCACATTTACTTATTTACTTAAATTATTAAAAAGAATATGAAACGCGTAATGCCGCGACTGCCTCACATTATCTGGTTCTGTTTGTTGTTGCGCTCAGCTCCGATTTAACCTTTGTTTATATGTTTGCAGACTCGTGTCGCCATGTTTGTGCAAAGGCTCCCTGGCATATGTGCACATACACTGCCTGGAGCGCTGGATTAGCACCTCACGCTGTACGACCTGCGAGCTCTGCCAATTCCAATACAATACGGAGCAAACACTGCGGTAAGTGCCGCGTTCAAACGACTTAGCCGCTTTGAAGTGTGATTGTTGGCTCCTTCCTATTGTGTGGTGGCTAATCAAAGAGGAAACAGAAGTGACACCACAGAATATCTGTATCCCGGCTAAGTAAAGGAAACAAGAAACTTCCAATGCTTTCAATGCTTTGAATCCCAAACAATCGCTTTGAGAGTAAACTACTACCGAGAATTATTAACACTAATAATATACGAGTGTTCAAACAGTCCAAGCTCCAATTAGAAATTTATAGTCAACTTGATTTCGCTCGAATAACGAGAATAATTTACATGTGAAAGTTGTTTTAAAATGTGACATGTAAAACTTCTTGATCTTGGAATATTCACATTTTTAGTACTGACTAGACCAGTAAGGGCATCTCTTAGTCCAGCACTAACAAGTATAGCCATCCAAACAGTATACTCTGCTGTGTTTCTGTTCCGCATCACCAACATTGTTGACAAGCACGGCGACAACTCATTTCTGTTTCTGTTGTCTCGTGGTCCTTTGAGTTTCCACTTTAAGCCTTTCGAATTCACCATCCTTTTCAGCTACACCTGCCTACAATCCCTGCGCCTTTGGTACTCGCGTGCTATGAGCCGACGCGCCCTGCAGGAGGATTGTCAAATGTTCTCGCTTCTCACACTGGTGGCCTTTGGCATAATTGGCACATTGTTGGTGGGCATTCAGTATTATGCAATGCACACACAGTCGTGGGGCTTAAGCAAACTGTGGACCAAGTCCTGGATGTTGTTCTTTCTCTTTATGACGGTGCGTACTAAAAAATTTGAAAATAGGCCACTGCACATTTGCATTTGGTAAACAAGACCCATCTTTCTTAGATTACTGTTTACTTCGCCAACGTGTACATGCTAATCAAGTCCCAGCTGACGCCATGGTACCGGTAAGTGTTTGAATGAATGGCAGCACATTGATAGATGCCTTTAAAAATGTCTGTTTAATTAAAAAATTAAATGGCCACTAGTCCACACATTTCTTAAAAAATAGTAACTAAAAGCTCTTCCAAGCAATTTAAATTTAAATTTAATTCGGCTAAATTGACAAATTTTGTAGCACAATAGTAACCTCGTATCCAAAATAAAAGGTACTTCTAATAGTTGTCCACTATGAGAAGTAATTGTAATCGTCCATTTTCTGCTCAATTGACAAAAAATATCCTGTTATTGAATTCTAATTGTATATATCTAAAATTGTTATGCAATTGGATAGTGTATCAATATTTTTGCAATGTGTTTTGTACTACATATATGTAACTATTACTCATAAGTTTGATTTTTGCAGCTGGTGGCAGTCAGCGCGAGACATCAAGCTGATCCTGGAAAATCGACGACCTTTTCGGAATCCTAGTCGCATGCGGGAGTGCCCAGTGGACACAGCCTCAACAACAGCGTCCATGTTCACGCATCATGATCAGTTGGACATATTGTTGCAACAAACCCCGCATCAGCCGGACCGTGTATTTTTTACACCCACAGCCAGTCAAACGATTGTTACAGCGCCCCAGGGCGCTTCTGAAGCGCGGACGGTGCCAAATAGCGCCACAGCAGCCATCGCGTTGGCCTTGCAGGGACCCATGTCCAGCCCTATCTGTGGCGATTGCAAGTCGCAGCGCACTCCCACGCCGATAACAGTATCGGATGAAGTGGCTGGTGCGGGTGCGGGCTTGGGCTCGGGCCCGGGTGCAGTCCCTACGTCGACGGGGAGCGATGCCTTATCGCGGGCACTTCACGTCGCTTTGCATAGCACCTCGAATACACAAGCCGATTGCAAGGCTGTTGTGAAGGACGACCATGACAAAAAGGATCAGGGCAAGCCGAATGCGAAGAGCGACAAGTAGTCTGTGTAAAGTGGATGCTCAAGGACAAACGCTGTTTGCACAGCATTTTGCTCGTCTATATGTTATGTGCTACTTGTGCTCTGCTTCGATACACCGCTTTCCCCGCGTTTTCAGTCTATATATATTCCATTTGTTGTAGTTTCAATGCTTTTAATGAACTTCCAAAAACAGCTTGAATTAAATGCGCCAACTTGAGCTTAAGTTGTGCCTCCTCTTTGCGTGCCTGTCACTTGACGCTTGTCACAGCGTGTGTGTGTTAAACAACTTCCGCTTCCGGTGGCAGCGGGGTACACGATAAGCTCTAGCAAATTAAAGCTGATAGCGGGCGCCTATTCAGGCTCAAGCTGTCTGCCTGACTGGTACATGCGTCAAGTGACTGATGGCTAGGCAGGCAGTCACGTGATTGATGGCTCATAAATTAGTCATTTCGCCTCAGCCTTAGATTGAACGTTGCAGTACTCGTTAACTCACACACACACACACACACACATATATAAGGGCACACACGCAGAACCCTCCCATTCACTCAATCTCATATAGTTGTCACTTTGCTCGCTATTGTTTTTGTTATTGTTATCATGACTGTCGTAGTGCCCATTTCTTCTTTTTTTTTTTGCCCCCTACTCCGAGAGCAGCCAAATGCCTTGGTAATTTGGCATAAGCCTCCCCAGGCAGTTGACATTTTGCAACAGCTCTGTGATCCTTTGCCATTAATGTAAGTTGTACAAGTAAAGTTAAGGAAGCACAAAAAATAAACATGAATTTTAATTTATGCTCGACATTTTTTAATTTTGGATAAACTTAATTCCACTGTCAGACTGGCAAATTATTTGCAGGTCACAACTGCAGCTAAAGTAGATGCCAAATAGATTCTCCGAAAACAAACCAACCGAAATACATATTTCTAGGTTCCATCTTCAAATATTCGCATTTAAAGACAAACAAAACAAAAAATTATGATGAACTATAAATATTAGGCCAATAACTTTAAAACTGTATGAAAATTAATGCTGAGTCTGTAAATACAAGTACTTACTTGTATATACTCATTTTTTATAAACACATAAAGTGTAATTATTTTCGAGTCCGATCAAATATTTAAGTAAGCCTCCTTTGAGCCCACATCTAACTTTCCTCGATGGCGGCCTCTGTGGGCGTGCTTGCCATTGTGCCTGCCTGCGGCTCATGCCTCCCTAATATGTTGCTGATGTTGACATATTACATCGAGCAGTGGTCCTGAGGACCGTCTGGTGTGCGGGCGCACGTGGGTTCTGCATATTTTTGGACGGGTTAACAACAGAGCGACCTTCAATCATGTTTGCCAATGGCTGAGCAATCACCGTAGAGCACCGAAAATGGCACAAAATAGCTCACAACGGCACAGAATGATTGAACGTTGTCGTAGGCAACGTACAACAACGAATTCGTGTAGGTGTGTGCAAATCCCTTCTCGCACATATTTTGACTTATCTGTTCACTAGGAGAGCGAGCCTGTGTCTAGATGTCTGGGACTCGCTTTATACTTACATCCTTATCGCCCAAGCGCTCGACGCGGCAGTGCAGGAAACCCGTTTGTCCCACAGTGACGGTCAAGTTGCGTGGCACATCAAAGTCGAAGTAGGGCAGGAGATTTGAAGGCGATGTTGTCGTTGTTGTTGTCGTTGGTGGCGTTGGCGCAATAGCAGCGCTATGCCCTGGAAGCAAACAGAAAGACAGAGTAATCATGAGAGAAATGGCTAGAACGAGATGGCTAGAATACAAAAAGGCTGCGCAAAATGGAAATTGGTTTCCATTCATCATCATGTATTGTTGTTTATATGGCTTTAGTAGATTTTAAAGAGAATCCAATGCCGACACTTGCTGCAAAAAGTGTGTTAGGGACGGGCGAGGCGGTGCCCAAAGCCAACCAAACTGAAAAGTAATAAAAATCGTATTAAAAAGCCAAAAAAAAAAGCTCAGCAAACAATTATATTCTCTTCTTTCGTGGCCTTTTGTATGCTTTTTATTTTTACATATTGCTTTGTTTTATATGTTTCTTCATGAGCTTTGCCACACATTTGGATTTTAAATACCTTCAATGTGTTTGTACAAACATATATATATTTATTTACATAAAGTGAGTGTGAGTGTGTTTGCTTTTTCGAAATTATTTTATGCTCGCTGCCCTTGCCTTTTTGCCTTCATTTTGCCCAAGGCTCGTATGTATAAAAGGATTTATGCCGTTTTAGCACTAAGCACAATAAACAAAGGTCTAAAAATAAAAATTTGTACTCAACACACCATATAATTGAAAAAAAGTTATCTCAGATGCTTGCTCGAGCAAAAAAATAAAAGTCAAACAGACATGCCTTTAAAATTTAAATCACATTCCTTAATAAATAAATTAAAATATTGTTGGATAGTAACGAGCAGCTATTTCTTTTTGTTGAAGACAGATATTTTTCAGAAGGCTACAAAATTATTCTCATTGTTATGCTCTTTTTTGTAGTTTATACGCAATTAAATCGGCGAAAACTCTTGCCCCAAGTCTTAGTGTTTCGTAAAAGAATAGCTTTGAAGGGGGTGTGTACAAACTTTTCTTTTTACCGCTTAACTACGTTTTTGCAGCAAGCAAAGTTTGTAGTTTGAAAGAAAAGTCACATAAAAGAAGAGCACGTCAGCTAAATAGACCAAAATGGTTGTAACCGGAAACTACTAAAATAAGTTCATCAATACGCGGACAGACAGCAAGCCCGAGGAATGGACACAATCAAGTTTTGGCATATCAAAGCGTTCTCTAAATCTCTGCTTTCAATGTGCATGAGCGTGTATATCAACGCATGCAGTCAAGTAGAACAGGAATAATTGAATGAGACGAACAAGAACGTCTAAAACGACAAGAACGACGACAGCGAAGGTCCAAGTTTGCTGAACTTTGCGCCGAAAACCCAAAACTTTGACGAATAGCATGAAAAGTCAAATTTAATGCTCTCGACTAGCAGCAGACAAATGTGTTGCGTATTTGTACGCACGAAGCTTCTATTGCACTTTTTCATTTCCGTTTCCGCACGCGCACAAAAGCATGCTACAAAAAAGTTACGCAAGCCAACAACAACAAGATAGCATAATGACCAAAAAAAAAAATGGATCCAAACTTTTGCCACACATTTGGGAGTGCGGGTGTAGGGACAAATTTTACGATTTGCTTCGAACACAAAGTTAAATTTAATGCCCGCAACATCGTTTGGTACGTGTGGGGAAAATATAGAAATGGAAATCCCTGCTGAGCGCAAATCTGCTGAATTAGAGCTCGTCTATTACGCAAATAATTTCAAAAGCATGCATCGCCCGCTAAATTAGCTTAGACATTTTGCACGTATGCGCATGGAAAGCGCGTGGAAACTCATGGAAACTGCCGTAAGCCGCAATCCGAACCCCAACTCAAACCACGTGCCATTCTCAGCTGAACTTAATTTATTGTTTATCAGCGAACACGAAATTTATGACCAAGCGAAACTGTCTCTGTCGAAGTTTGTGCTAATTTTGACTTTATGCTTCGAAAATTTGCTGCGTGGGGCGCCCATGTTCAGAAAATTAACGATGCGGCCGCCGGAAAATGCCTGCGCGACTTGTCGCTGTTGAAGCTGTCGCTTTTGCTGTTGTTTTCCACTTTGCTATCGATCAGCTTATAACAACACCAGTAACATCTGCTCTCATAGCCTGCCATTTTGCATAGTGAATCAGTTTTTTTTTTTTTCAGTGGGAGCTGGTTTGCCAATTCAGCTTTCGGCTTTTTAGGGAGGCCACTGCGTGTGTGTTGTGGCCTACTTGGGTCTACATCCCACGCACATACGTGTTGTGGCTTTTAAAACGTTTAATCAGAAATCTCCACATTTGTTTTTGCTCATGAGCCTGATGCCTACAAATTATGATGCACAGACACACGCGTCTCTGCGCCACACACAACATTTGTTGTTGTTAGCTTTCCACCAAAAATTAGCAAATGTGCTGGAAAATATTCAAAGTTTTATACAAGTCACAGACAACGAACGGTTGGTTGACGCCTGCTTCAGGCCAAATCGAAAATGGCGTCGATGTGCCGAAAAAAAGCTGCAAAGGAAATTATTTTTTTCACAACACAAACAAGCGCAAATCATTGCTCGCGTGTGTGTGTGTAGTGTATTAATTGAGCGGAAAATGCGTTCAGTTGCGTTCAGTTTCTTTACGTTATGCAAATCGAGCACACACATACTACATATACGTATACGCACATACACAAGCGAGACAAACAATGGTAATGATTAGCGAAACATGTGTAAGCAAAGCGTTGAGACGTGCGGCAAACAGACGCAGAGTATACGCGCAGTGGCGTGGCGTGACGTGCCGTCACCAAAAAGGGGCTCGTCAATGAAAATTCAATACAAATATTTGCAATTTTGTTTTTCAAATAACAAATTTTTTCTTTCAAAATACATTTAGCAATAACTTTTTTTCGTATGTTTACCTGGTTTATTTTCACATTTTATTTGAATTTTCGAAATATACCTTTACACCTGCAACTAAGTTTTCTGTATTCACTTTTTTGTAAATGCCACGCTAGCAGGATTCAGAGCTGGCTGCATTGTTTACTTGCTTCTGAGCTCGTTGGCGTACGAAGACTTGCGCCTTCGATTCATATTGATCCCTGCACTTACGGTTAAGTTGAGCTGACAACTTACTGACGCTTTGTCGCATTGAGTGGCAACATTGCAGTCAATACGTTGTCTGCGCCTTCATTGTCGCAATAGCCGGTTGACTTTGCACAATTTGCTGAGATGTTTATGGCACAGTATTCTGTTTCACGTTCCATGTGGCTGCACTCTCTTTAATTCAAGTATGTTGAACTATCGATTCCATGAACTCATACACATAAATAATGCTTCGTCAATATACAATAGCAACTCAATGAACTTACATAGGCTACATATTGTTATAATTTCGAGACAAAAGCATAGCAAGTCATATATTTTACTGAATGAATGTGACTTAATGACGCTATTAGTGACACACGTATAATTAACCAAAAATGAAAATATTTTCTGAGAATTTTCAATTATTCATTGATGAATTAATTAATTACGTTTAAGGTCTACATGTGAGCTTCAATAATGTTGGCTGCATGACCACAGATAACAATTACAATCAAGCAATTTCAAAACATAATTATATTTCAAATGAATCATTTATTTATTCGTGAGACAAATTTACATCCATTTTCTTTTAAAGTACTCTAAATACAAGAATTTATAATTACCTGAAAATATATTTTAATTATAGTATGTGTCTTTTTTGTTGATAGCACAATTATTTTTGGATGTCTGAAACATCTATTATTATTCAAAAAGGAACTGGACTATAAATATAAAAGTGTCAAAAACATATTATTTGTTTCGTTTCGTTTATACACGCATTTCTGCCTATTTGAATTTACTTATGACAGCCATGTTTGTTTTCATTTTTTTTAAATAATTTAACTTTATTCAATGCCACGAAAATGGCTTTTGTAATTGCTTAAATAAAATTTATTATTTTCAGAAGAATATCAAAGGAGATCTTATGAGTCCTTGACTAAAAATATGCATACAAATAAGCTCGCATAAAACTAGACGTAATCTGTCACACTGTCACGGATACGAGTACTCGTACAAACATACGCAAACAGCCACTTAGATAACAAAAAGTAATTTAGAATGTGTGCATCATACCCACATACATACTTTTTGAGTGTGTCTTTATGTGTGTAAGAATGGAAACAAGCATCTACGCATACAAATAAATAAAAATCAGTGCCTTTTGTTGCCATCACTTTGACGTTGTCATTCCACTAACACATTGAAGATCAAAAGTTTTTCCCCGATGTCAAACGAAATTCGTTTAAGCTGCTGATGCTCGCATTTGAATTACACATAGTATAGGAGTGTGCTCGTACGTACAAACAGCATCAAAGGCAAATGATGAAGAAGCCACACAAAAATCGGAGCTGCCAAACGATGACGCGACCTCGTCGCATTTCAATGAACATAAAAAGCTTCAGAGGCGACATGCGTGCGCTCTCATTTAAATCTCTGCATGTCTGTCCCTCTGTCTATTCCATGTAGTATGTGTGCGCATGTGAGTACATGTGTGCTTGTAATGTATGTGCCGCTTAAGCCTCCACATTTGCATGCGCATCACATGTCAACGGCAATGCCGAAATAAAAAAAATATATTTAAAAAAACGGAAACAAAATCAGATAAACGTTTGCTGAATGGCGCTCATGGCGACAACTGACGGATACGGTCGTAAATTCTTGTTGAGCGTCAAGATCGTTTCGCAATGGCGACGACAACAGTGGAAACCCAAAATGTGACGAGCCTGTTTTCAAGCTATGAAGGGTTTATTCACTTTAAATGTTGCCCACCAAGCCGCATGCAATTTGAGCTTAAACAAACACGTAAAAATGGGAATTTTATTTTGGCCAGACACACCCAATTTGGCTATTGATGGAGCACAAACACACACAAAGTTGATTACATTTACTCTGGTTATTAAGTATTGGAAGAAAAAAAAACTTTTTATATATTTAAGCAGATTACACGTCCGCCTGCCTCGGTTTGTCTCTACATACATTTTCAATAATAAATACCCCAAGGTGATATTTAACGAAAGTCTACATACTCAGAGTGTCCCCCACAT